TTTTTTATTATTGGAAATGAAAGTAATTTACGAAAAATTTTGATTTATTTTTATCTATTTTTTTTTTATTTTTATAAAGTACAAAACTGAGGCTTCAATGAAATACTAAAGATTGCCTTCATTTGAAAACAAGAAAATGAGAAATAATTATTTGCCTAGCCTTTAGAGCATTTTGTTTTCGTACTTGTTCAGTTGTATATATACATATATATCATTCATCAAAATTTTCATATGCTGCAGTTGGACCAGGCAATCCCTTGCCTCCCAACCGGGCATAACTCTTGTCCGTTTCTTTTGCGCTTGTTTTCTAGATATATATATACATATTTCTATATATATATGTATATTTTTTTTTACATACATATATACATCTTTTTTTGTTAAATTACATGCACATATACACAGTCAAATATTTATTTAAAACTTATGCCCGAGGCCTTTCATTACTGTGCACGTAAAAATATATTTACATACATACAAACGCACACACACACACACAGACACACAAATATACATATATATTCTGTTCTGCATTCTGTAGTTTCGTTTCTCTATTTTTTTTTTTTTTTTCATATTTTACTTTTGATATTTTCCCTGGGCAAATGTACAGCATGTTGCTTTGTGTCCGCCTCTCGCTTTGGCGGCAAGCATTCCGTGTTATTAAGTAAACTTTACTTCTCCATATATTTCCAATTTTTTTATTTCATTTTTTTATATATTCTATGGTACTTTGGGTCGTGAAATCGTGGCTTAGTTTATTTACTTAGCGCCGTGACGCTAAGTTTGTTATTTCCTCATTTCCATATTTTCTAGTGTCTAGTGTCTAGCGCGGCTCTAATTAGTCGTCCTTGCTGCGCTTGTCCTTGTGTGCGAGCCCATTGTGCCCGCTGAAGAGAACAAAGCGCTCCGACGCTCAGTGAAGCCAGTTCAAAAGTTGTTGAACATTTAATGGGATTTACCCACCAAATTGTTTTAAATTACATTGCCCCAGAGCCTTCATAGCTGCGCAGCAACAACAAGAAAAGATGATGAAGAAGAAGAAAGTAGAAAGTATAAGAGGAAATGACAGCTGCTCGCATTGCTGAGCAGCTGAAGAGCGAGATACCGCTTAGAATAGAGCTGTTAATTAAAATGATATTGGGCAAACGAATCAATCAAACGTGGCTGTCAACTGGCATTGTTTGACAACGAATGGAAAAGCTGGAGACGAAAAACAATAAAGAAAAATGTATGAATTGAAATCGAAAAACAGTTTCAATAACGAGTAAAAGTGCTCTACTAAGGAGTTCTCGACCAGGAATCACCCTGAGTAGATATTTCTATCAGTTTTCGGAGCGAGCTAATTAAATATTGAAGCAAGTGCCACTCACTCAAATTTCTTTATTCAGATTTTAAACAATATTATTGGGGGAAAATGTAAATGTATTGAAATGCAAAGTTTATATAACAATGAATATTCTGTAGATTTTATTATCATTGTATCAATATCAATATCAATATCATTTAAACGATAATCAATATCATTATTATGCTAATTATAAGATAACTCAGTAGCTTATCATTATTTACTTATACGCTAACGGGTTATACTGAATACCAATTCAGTCAATCTCCTATTGTATATCCTATTCTAACTTTTACCATACGCTACTACACTTTCCCACAATATAATTATTTGTATTTAAATATATTAAACTCATATAAACTATATAATCAAGAGTTCGAGTTTTTCTTATACTGACAAAAGAACATCTGCTTCGCACTTTTTATTGTTACCTGAATAAAATGAACTATAAAGGCTCACGATATTGTAAACAAAATAAGAATCGTGCTTATAAACAAGGTATATGTTTACCTCTTGACAAGACAAATACAAATTATATAAACAAAATATATTTACGCCTCTTGCCAAGTTCTCACACTTTACACTATTGCCCGAGTGAATCGATTATCAAGATCATTTATTATTCTGTTAAGGCTTAGTCTCTAAATAAGCTATATTTATACTGTTCTTTCAGTTTGGGTAATAAATAATCTTTCTTAAATATAGATAGTACTATTGCTTTACCAACTACTATTTTATATATTAACAGTTATCGTATAACTACTTATTTCATCAACTCTCTCTGGTTATTGTTATCGGTCATCGTTTGTTTATCGACCACAAAATTGACAAAACGCAATTATAGCCAAATATATTGAATGAAGTATACTGAAATTGGGCACTACCCGCACTCACCTGTCGCAATTGTCTGTGGGGATTTATTTAATTTGATTTTCGGGGCCTTTTTGCAACGTAAAATTTGAGCCCTAATCGAATCAACTAGCTTTGGGCTGTAATTGTAAATTCTTTGGTTTAGTTCATTGATTGGTTTTTGGTTTTGCGTTAATTGGTTTCGTTATTATACCGTTTGATAATTTTGGGCGCCAAAGTACAGTCAGAAAGCACTCACACAGATTCACATATGTTCAGGCTAATGCGCGCTCTCTCTCTCTCTCTCGTTCACTCTCACTCACTCACTGTCGTTCTCTATATATATATGTATGTATGTATGTGCTGCTCTGTTGCGCTCGCTCTCTCAGCGGATCTCTGTGTGTTTATTATGACGTTTGTTGCGGCACGACGCCGTCTGTCGTTTGTCCACTGTCCACTGTCGCCTCTCGCCTGTCGATTGCCTCTGGGGCAGGTAGTTAATGCAGTTTGTTTGTTTGGCCACGTTTATTAGATTGCTAGAGCTATAGACTACGCTCCCAATGCACTGATTATTATCGAACTATCTATGCTTGTGTGCGTGCGTACGTGCGTTTATTTGGCCAGATGTGAATTTTGGCTGTCGGTTTGTCGGCTGAATTTCGTTGATTTGTCGTTAAGGTGAAGCGCACACAGGACATGCACAACTTGACTGAGCGAAACTGCACAAATAACTGAATTGAAATTTCGTCGCAGCGAGCGCACTGTGTAAGGGCAAATCGTCGACCGGAGCGCATCGCATCTGTGTGGGCGACAGCAATCTGTGGAGGGATGGGAGGGGGCAGAGCTAGGGAGGCTAGGTCTCTGCTTTTAGGGGTTCTACGGCAACAATTTAGCCTATAGCTTATTTTCGGCAGCAACAGCAGCAACAGAGGCAGCAGCAGCAGCGGCAATTTCTTACAGCAGCAAATGCACTCGAGTGCATTTTAATTGATTTTTTTTTTCGCATGCACTTTCGCTGGCGAGTGCGAGCGAGAGCGCAAGCGTAATCTCTGTGTGTGCCTTGCCTTGCTCGTTTGTTACACGCGGCGTATGCGTAACATTTACAATTGCACTTCGCACGCACCTTACTTTGAGTGAGTTTTCTTCTTGGTTTGAGTGAGTTTTCCCCCATTCAGCTGCGATCTCTTAAGCAGCGCCCGTTCTAGGTCAATTAATGTTGGCCGCTTCATATTTTCTTTTTTTTTTCAAGTTTTAATTACCCTTTTTATTTTCAATTTCAACAGAGAAGCACAGCGAAGAAGCAGCAACGAATAAACTGACTGTGGCAACAAATTTTTAATTAATTACATGCAAAAATCCAAACCAAAAATGAGTTGGCCACGCTTGAGTGACGAGCTGGTCAAACAATTAGCATTTTATGCCAGTTAAAAAACGTATAATGAAGTTTCTGAAGGATGCGACTGGCTTTCCCCTCTCCCTCCCCCACTCTCTCTCTCCCACTCTCTCTCATGGAAAAAGTTTTTAATATGTAAAGTGTTTTTCCAAGGGGTATGCGTTGGTCTGAAAGGCTCTAGCCCAGCCCAACAAGTTGGAGTGAGTAAACAGCCATTTAAACTCAAATTTCCATTCAGATAGATGGAAATCTGTGTCAGCTTTTTGGCAGTTTCCTGTAGACTGTTTTCGAGTCACTCCAAACATAAAGCCAAATTGTCAAGCAGCACAAATGTCTGCCACAAAAACAATTGACACTTGAATTATTCAACTTTATAATTTATAGTCTGGCTACAGACATCTAGAGTTTCCATAGCCATTCTATTGGGGTGCCCTTTGCTGAAGAAGTTTCTCTTTTGGTAACCCACAAACACTTATTAATGGGGCCATATATTATGGTGGAATATTACTAACTCCCTCTCCCTTTGCAGTTTTTCTTTTGTGAAAAATATAGATAGAGTCCCAATATTCAACATGTCAAAAAGCTGGCTTTTCCTCTAATTCTTATTATTTCTTTCGGAGACTTCCTATCAGACCTTTTAAGCCTGTGTTTCGCTGCTTCTGTCTAACTCAATTTATATTTCGCGCTAGATCACTTGATCTGCCCCTTTTCGGATTCCTCTCTCTCTCTCTGTTTCTCTCTTTCTCTATCCTGTTCTAGCTCTCGCTCGGTTTTAGTCTCTATCGTAATCTATTTCTTCTTTTCTCTATCTCTCACTTGCGTCGTATTACTCTTGGTTCCTGTGTCGTATAGCTACGCTCTCCCTCTGTCTCTCTCTCTGTTTTTCTCGCTCAGTCTTTTGCTTTATTCTTCTCTCTGCCTCACTCTATAAAATCTTGGTCTATTGATGTGGGCCTCTATTACTATCTTGCTCTCTCTCTCTCTTTCTGTCTGTCAATTTTATTTTATTATTCTCTGTCTGTCTCTCTGTTTTCTCTCTAGTTCTTCCTCATTCCTGATTCTCTATCGTGTGCTCTCTCCCTTTCCATCTCGCTTTCTTTCCTTTCTGTATATTGATTTGTTCATTTATCTCTTTTAATTTCTTTTACTTTACATGTCTCCTATTTCTCTCTCTGTTTTTCCGTTGTTTGCTCTCTCTATCGCTTGGTGAATTGAATTTCCATCTCGCTCTCACACATTGAAGCAAATCAACGATCTGCATTTCTTCTACATATGCTTTATCTATATTTAATAAATTTGTATTTCTCTTTATATCTCTGTTACACTTTCCATTAAATTTGCTTAAAGCCAATAAAGAGGGATTTGACAAACATTAAAACTAAACACCAAAAGAACTTGGCTATAACTAAAATGCAGTAAATAAAATATTAGACAATACAGGGTGCCTCGGTGGTGGCAACAACAACATTCGTGTCGAGACATGCGCAAAGCGACACAAAACCCAAAGCAACTCAAAAGGCAACTCACTCAAAACTCACAACATGCAATAAAAAACACCTGAAGCCAAGCAATGCAATCGCAGACAGGCAGCCAGCAAAGGGAACGAAGGGGGGGAAATAGAAGAAGAAAAACAAACGTCAGCTGCACACAATACAACCCAGGGCACAAAATGGCATTGGACCAAATGCTAACGAACAGCAAAAGCAACAGCAACAGCAACAAAAATAGCTAAAGGTACAGGGCACAAAATTGCAGCTATGACATTTACGGCCTTTGTTGGCCAGTGTAATCACACACTCCTACAAACGAGCTGCGTTTTAAAAATTTATAGCTCTCCTAGCTGCCATTTGCTAATTACGAGCTTATGTTGTTATTTTAAACCAGAATTCAAGCATATAAGATGAGCTTAAAAATATAAATATTAGTGGGACTATAAAAGGATTATAAATAGCATTAGTTAGTTAAGTAGTTAAGTATGAGACATTTAAATAGGTATTAAGTATGATGCAAGTATAATACAGTTTTTATAGGAAAACTAGAGCACCCTTACTTGATTTTATTAAGTTGGTTCAGGGTAGTATCTTTCTTACTTACTTTATCAATGACAAAGCAAAGATCCTCAAGAGCTATCAATACTTTATTATTACATACATTGCGTCACTAAATAATATCGTAAAATCGTTTAAAGTTATTGCCATGAAAAATAGGTGTTGGCCGATTCTCAGACCTACCAGACCTGCACACAAAATTTCGTGAGAATCGGTCGAGCCGTTTCACCGCGACAAGAGAATTTTATATATAAGATTTGAAGTTTCGGTCGGAATATTATTGTGATTTTAAAAGCGCAGATAAAAATAAAATTAGTGCTAAAAGTAATCATAGAAGTAATATATCTCTGAAATTCTACTACTACAAATATTAAGATAAATAACAAATTATTTATTCATTTTTGCTTAAGATAGAAAAGGTTTATAAAATGCTATTAAAATACTACTTTCCTCTTCAAATTATTTATACACTACTATTTTCATGATACATTTGCGTAGACGCTGTGTTCATTAAAATGATAGAATTTAAAACAAAACTTAATATTAACAAATTATTTATAAATATAATTATTTAAACTTGAGACAGCAAATGTTTATAAAGGATTTATGAAAATAGTAGTAGCCAATATAAATAATTCCTACACTACTATTTTAATAAACGTTGCCATAAAATAGTAGTTTTACTGCGCTCATTATTTTTGAAATAAAAAGAATATTAATGTATAATAATTAATAAATATAGTTTATAGTATTAATATATTATAAATAAAAATAAAAAGAATATTAATGTATTAATAAATATAGTTTATGTTATTATTATTTTTTTTTTTTTAATTAAAATAAAAAGTATAATAATGTAAAAATAATGTAAATATAAAAAGTATAATAAAATGTAAAAAAATGTAAAAATAATAATGTAAAAATAAAAAGTATAATAAATAATAATAATAATAAAATTATATATAGTTTATAGTATTAATATATTTTATGTTTTTTTCCACTTCAGGTTGTGAGAAAGTAAAATTTGTAACATTTAGTTAGTTCATGCAAATGTAATTGCCACGAAAATGAATTTCCACAGTATTCAAGCAAATGGAAGCCCGTTAAACTGTTGGCAATTTAGGCTAACTCGCCGTACAAATTGCCACTGTAATAGTTGGGTAATAACAAGGCCAGACGTATTCAATTACTGGATAATAGCTGCAACAGTTAATTCTATGGAATTTTGTAAAATTCTAATCAAATTGAGAATTTACTGAATTGATTTACCGCTTTGAATTTATTTCTAAATTGAATTGTAATTCTCCAAGTGAAAGCAATAACAAGAAAGACCAACTTCTCGCCTATAATTATATTTTCATTATGAAAACTATGTAATTAATGTGATGACTTCAACGCAATCTTAATTAAGCTGGCGAGTCAACAATAAATATTTGTGAGGCAATCGAACTCCAACCTCAACCCGAAAGTCCTTCACAATGAACTCGGTTCTCATTGAAAGCCCCCGAAAAAAGATTGGGATAATTATAGATCTGATCATAGTGTAGTAAACTAATCATTGCCCACAGCTGACCTCATTTGAAGGGCGTTGATGAGCATTGACCATTGAACCTCAAAGAGCTGAAAATCCAAAAACCAACTACAAATCACCTGAATTTAGATTTTTAATACGAGCACATCAAATTCTAAGGTTAATGACTGTGTTTATGGAAACAGACGTTGACTGGGGTGAATCCCTGAAAAAAAAACCTTTTTTTATTGCATATTGTAAACAAAGCAATTGTGACTCATATCGTCAGATATACATATGTACCTATTTCAAGTAAAATACCTTGTAAAACAATGTATATAGGGTTGTTTGTTTATAGTATATAGT